TTAAATATCCGTAATCAATATGCAAAACGTTATATCGGAGCGTTGAATACGGTCTGTTTTTTCGGACTAACCTTTGTGTGTGCTAATAACGCCTTCTCCCGCCCAAACGCCAAGCCGCACTGTTGACACACAAATGGCTTACTCTCATCAATTACAGGGAAGGTTTTCCCATGCTCTGGCGATTGGTTTTGTGTGAATTTTACAACAGCAGTTGATGCCTGTAGTTGTTGGCAGTCCTCATAAGCAGCGGCATGATTTTGCTGATTTTCGGTTTCCTGTACATCGTTCTGCAACGGTTCATTTATTACAAAACTTTCTTCTTTATTTGGTCTTAAGCGACTAATGCGTCCCCGTCCCACAGTCGTCGAAGTGGAGGTAGATGAGCTGTTACCGCTAACGTTGTGCGTTTTTCGACTAGATTTATTGTGGCGTTGCAAAGAATTAATTTGTGTTGTCCAATCTTGTTCGTAGTAATGATCGTTGGGTTGGCGCATCGGTTGCTGTTCCTGCTCCACAAAATTCATAACTATGAATAAATAAAAATTGAAAATAAGTATTCATCTTGATCCGCTTATATTATTACTTACATTCTGCATCTAATTCAGGATCTGGTGCGTCGGCATGTGCTTTTAAATGGTTTATTAAATCGGAACGACGGAAAAAACGACACCCGCACAATTTGCACAAATGTGGACGATCGTTCTGGTGCGCAACGATGTGATTCATCAAACTTGTCTTTTTGCGAAAGCGTCTGCTACAAAAATCGCACGGGTAAGGCCGTAACGTAGTGTACTCATCCTGCACAGTAGGCAAAGGTACTTCCATGTCAAGCAATACTTGCGAACCTGAACAAATGATCTGATCTGCTGGTATTTCCACACTAAAATTAAAATTACATTGACAATTTTTAACTTTTTGTAGTGAAAACTTGGTGATCACCAACCGTTCCTCGCCTTGATGCTGCACCCAGTCGTCCGTTATCACTTCTTCGGTTACCATTTGCGGTGTGTTATCAACAACAAAGTTTTCCCCAAACCTTATATCGCCATTTCCCTGTCCATTTGTCAGCTCATTGGAAGACATAACAGCAGCAGCTGCTTGTTTCAATGCCTCCGTACAATCAACATTATCAGAGGCGGATACAACGACGGTTCCATTTTCATCGGTAGTAGCACCTATAATCTCCGTTACCATTTGACCATCCCGCGCCATGAAAATTAAATTTTCGGCAGCTATATGATCGATGTCCACTTCGTTTGGTACATTGCCATCAACATCGTCTCCAGAGACTATGTGAAAGGCGGCACTATCTGATGTAACCACACCGTTAGCCAGTAGCTCATCTTCTGATGGTACTTGTCGTTTCACAATCAACTGTCCGCCGCCACTTTTTAAGCCTTCAGTGTCGCCTTCTATCCACTGGATTTGAAATGTTCTTCTATCCATAATGTCGCGCTGATGCAAGTTTTACTTAAACTTTACTTTAATCCCTGTAATAAGCGAAATGTTTGCATATAATCCCGTGTTTTATGCAATTTTTCATCCAGTCCCCCCCACCGAGAACTGGACGTAGTAAAATCAAGAAATAAAACANTAAGCGAAATGTTTGCATATAATCCCGTGTTTTATGCAATTTTTCATCCAGTCCCCCCCACCGAGAACTGGACGTAGTAAAATCAAGAAATAAAACACGAGACTACGCAAACGTTGCCAAATACTTTTGAGCATACAGCACATTCAAGGATTTGCAATTTCGATGAAGAGCACTATTACCCGTTTATTCTTCAGATACTTGGTTTTTTTTTAAATATATATATTTTTAATAGATTTAAGTTAAGATGCTGTAACATTTATAAAACTTTTGTTTTAACAATAGTACTATTTCTTATGCAATCTATACGGCAGCACTCCACAGTTTTCCAGACGCAATTAAACCGTCATACTAGTTGTCTCTTTCTAGCACTACATTATCGACAATGGCCGCCGATTATTAAACTCGAACTGCATATCATCGGCTAGCCGACCTTCTAACAAAATTCCAACTAAATTTAATCGAACAAAAAATTCCATTTCCAAACAAAATCTACGAGGTTATGTCCAAATGAGGTTAAGGTGGTTTATTTATTTACACTTTTTACAAGCTAATTAGCCGCTTACAATGCACCAAAACAATATTGCAATCAATTTAATGAACACATGAAAAACCATTTGCTAGGCACATAAATTTGGGTCGCGTATAGTCTCACGCGGTTACATCACAGCGCAATAGATAAAATTTGGAAAAATTCCACCAATTGTCCGTCTTTGAAGGCGAGCGTTTTTTGAAGTTTCACTTTTGCATATGTATGCGACAGGTGCCGTTAAGAATCTGCGTTTTTATAAGAGATATATAATAACACTTTACACACCGAACAATAAAATAAAATTACAAATTCCTTCACTACACGATATGACAGACCGAACAACTCCAATGCAATTTATTGAATACCCTGAAATGGTGCGAACGCTGATTAGTGGTTGCTGTTTGCGAAAGGTGTAATATTGCCATATCGCACTGTAATGATGATTCGAGCAAATAAAAACCGGCGTTTGAAAAGATTACAGGTAACACATATTCCTAAATAAATACTCTACGTATTTAAAATGTTTAAGATTGTTTTTAAACGTACAATTATACATTGAATATGGGATATAAAACAGCAGAAAGAACAATTCTACAAATTGTTGATTTAAACACTGTCGATAATGTAGTTCAGCAGGTTGTTGTCTAAGGTTGTTGATAATAATGATGTATTTGGCACTTCAATAATGATTTATTTTAACCGGAAATGCATCTATATGACATAAGTGCATTTCTGTCGTTCATTTGATAAAAAATAGAATAGGGAGACATTTTAGATAGAAAAACTAAGCTCAAGAAATCTGAATTAACGTTCTATTGCTTAATTTAAGCGATCCACAACCAAGAAATTTCAAACAATTTGTTTTCTGTAAGGTGTTGGTTGGGATGTCAATTGGTGATTTTGTTTTTAATGAATAATGGGAAATATATCTTTCTAACGTTTCGTAAAAACATTGGTAAATGAAAGATGGTAGTTTCCATGATATAAATATTATGAGGTAATTTCACGTTTCACAATTCGGCGCCATTTACTTGTTTGTCATGAAAAAAGTATCTATATAAAAAAAATCAAATTACACCGGCACACCAGAGCTGTAAAATGATTGAATCAGTAGGATCTGCATTCACCTTGGCACTCGTTTCAAAATTTTCATTGTTTGGCTGTATAAAAAAAACCTCATTCCTGAGTGGCTTAAATAATTTTGAAACAAAAACAAACGTAATGTGTTGTTGAATGGCAGAGTTCCATTCAGTATAAAATGTGAATGTAACAAAAGTATTCGCAATCATCGTGATTGTAAATTTTGGTTGAATGCAAACAGTTTTGATCATTCAGTACTACACTGAAAAAATATGCCTTGAAGAAAATATTTATAGGAGAAAATAGTCGTTTTACTTCTGCTTTTCTACTACTGCTACAATTTGGTAAAGCATTACCTAAGACCAGAAGTACGTACCAGCTTTGGATGTTCTGTCAATGCTGTTTAAAACCAACTGCATGTTTTTAAAGGAAACTTGCGCTCAATTTTATTTAACGAACTAAATTTTTATTTGTACAAAGAGATATTTTTATTTCTCAATACCAGGCGCTCATACATATGAAGTAGCAAGCTTTCTATATGTATAAATTTGTTTGTAGAACTTTTAAATAAATTTTATTTTGTAGAAGCCTTTGAACTGTACAAAGTAGAATTTTGGAAATTTAAAAATTTATACAAACAATTTTGTACGTAGAAATAGAAAACTTGTTACTTCACATGCATGAGCGCCTGGTATTGGGAAATGAGAATATCGTTCTTTTCAAATAAAAACTGATCATAAAAGGTGGCCGCTCGAAAATTGGCACATATGTATTTTAAAAAAGACATTATATGTATGTGGATAAACCATGGACTGAATGATAAAAGCTGCTATCATTTGATGGTTGTTATGCTTGATTATTTTATGTTCTGCAGATTTTCCAATCTTTAAAAGAAAAAAGTTATAGATACTAATTGTCTTGGAACATTTTTCACTCAGTTTTCAAGCAACCAAAACTATAAATTTGTACAATATGTTCATGTGAATCAAGCTGCGTTTCATGCGTGGAGGAGTCCAAGCACAACCATTCATTCGTAGGACATGGCTTAGCCCGCGTGGCCGCTGTGCATTGATACGCGACACTATGTCAATAGCGTTTTAAAGTTCATACACCTCATTATTCCATCATTTAAACTTACATATTTTTCTTAGTGTATAAAATTTGATTGAAACTGAATTAGAGAATGCACACATAGCAAAGTGTTCATTCATCTGGAAGCTAATTCAGTATTGAATTCTGTTTACTTCAGCATTCTCAGTTTTTTATTCAGGTATTTACTACCTTACTGTGTGAAATCAATTTTTTTTAATGATTGTAGATTGAAAAAAATTTAAGCCACACTACCAGACCAAAGGAAAATGAATGAAATCCTACTTGTAAATATTTCATGATTAAAATTTTAAATGATTTCACAGTTTTACAGCTCTGCGGCACACCCACCGAAAGTACATATGTATGTACATATCTACATACATACATACATATTTCACCACACTTCAGAATCGTGCTTTTCGCATCAAAATACATGGAAATGGGCTATTCCTGTTAAAAGTACATGACATTTTTTTTTAGTGGAGAACAAAAAAAATGTCGAGGTTTTGCTTCAGAACGTCAGAATTTTTTTCTAGCCTCGAAAAACGGGCCTGATATGAGTTGCGTAATGAGGGAGGGAAAAACTTAAAATACAAGTGCGTTAATGGCAATTTAAATTTCCTTTCCATACATATACATACATACATTAGGGTGCTTTTTATCGGCGACTATGTTTTTTTTTACTCCCACTTTGAAATTTAATCTAAAAACACGCTCACTGAAAATTGGAGCCCTTAATATTAATGTTCATTGCTCGACCAAGGTGTGCAAAGATTTCCCGTTCAAAATACACGTAAAATTTGATTTTTTTTTTTAATTGAAAATTTTATGGCTCAGAGGCATTTTATGGTATAATCATGGTCAATGATGGATTTGCTTTAAAATTGAATGCTATATATATGTACAAAAGTGTCCATTGCGCCGGAGCTCTAACTCCCACCAGCGAGTTAGTACGGATTTCTAAATCCCATATTTTCATGAAATTCTCTACATCCGCACACCATCTCTTAGCTAGATTAAGTCCTCTTTGGATGATGTCGCAGAGGCTACTTGCGAACTTCCCTCTGGCAATAATAATTATGTTGTATGCGTCAGTGAGTATTTGTAGCAGTTAGTCCACTACTTAGCTAACAGAAGAGGAGATAGCACCCCTCCATGCGGGAACCCTTTTTATAATTTGCAATTGAACCACGGAATGTAACAGCCTAGATACGCATCTGCAGATAGTTGGCTGGACATTACGTTTCTCACATTACGTCCTCTGCCGACTCCTATATGGGATGTATTGTCGAGCGCCCGATCGATATCAGGGAAGGCACAAAGTACTGCTTTTCCACACTCAAAGGCGAGGTCAGACTGTATTTTGTTAGGGTAACTGAGTAAATTCCCAGTTATCCATCCGCTTTGAACGATTGAAAAGTCTGCGCACCTCTTCCCTGAGACCTGAGAGTTCCCGTGACCACGAGGCGGGTTGAGCGCTTCCTCTTGCCCTCATCACGGGACAGCTGGAGTTACACGCATCTAAAATAGTGCTATTCAGATTAATAACCCTAGCCTCTAACTCCATAAAATTAAGATTTTATGATTTCTTACTAACCTATTTGGGTTCAACCTGAGTATTTTAGGGTTACCTGTCCTGACCTCAACTCTAAGTGCAAATCGAATATTCCTATGATCAGACAGAGAGGGCTGAGGTTAGACCCACCACGGGGTGGTCAGCGGGCTGGCCAATCTGTTGGTGAGAGAGATATCAACTACTTCCTCTCTGACCATGGTAATAAAACTTGGTCTATTATCTACATTATGTATACATAGGCACGTTGTCCCCCAAAAAGTCTGTAGGTCTACGGCTCTTGGATTAGTAGCATTACCAGGACCTGCTAACAATGACCGTCGAAGCAGCCACCGCATTATGCAGGTTGATCCGTTGCTTAAACAGCTGTGGAGTCAGCTGCCGCATCGACTTGCACGGCTTGCGACTCTGTCTGGTTGTCTGTCGTCTTCTGCCGCCACGGCCTCACCGTTCCGAAGCTATACCTGTAGCTAACAGTGAAGCCTGCTCTCTTTATTCTGACGTAAGACTCTCCATCGATGCCCAGATTTGGTCTGAGCCCGTTTTCCTCAGCGCGGTGGTGTAGGTTCTCTCTCTGGGCCAGCAAAAGCTCGCGGTCCACTCATCCTTGCAGTCCTCAAGGAGCATGCCTGGCCTGCAAACGGCACCGGATGCCTCTACCCTTTAAAGACCTCGTCCATAATGGCGTCCTGAAGTCTGGTCAAATCCCTCGAACACAGCCACCCGGATGCTTTTAAGGGCTTTGGAGTAGCTGGGGTGCTGAGTGGCCCCCTCCTGTGGCTGTCCCCTGCCCGCAGGATTAACCAGGTTTCTTGGCCCCTATGCCAGAGGGGTAGATGCTGCTAATATCGTTTGACGGAGGGTGGCCTCGGTGGCGTAACATGGCCTATGCCTCGCTTCGATGTCACTGTTAATGTTGCTGATATTGTGCCTCTTTTCCGCCAATTGGAGGGCGGGAGTTTTCTTTAAAATTATCAGTTGACTTTGAAAATATGGACAGAATAATGAAATCTGTTACGTATTTTTGGTCACAGGTAACGCTTATATCGCATTTTTGCCATTTTCAAAGTTTACATGGAGGATTTGGTAGCCTCAATTACAGTTATTGACTAAAACTTCAACTAAAATTCGGCACGGGTTATCGTTATCCTACGGCAATAAAACTTCATATATGTATATGCTATTTAAGCTAAAAAGCACAAAATTTGCAACCAAATTTTTTTCCATATACATATTCTTGGGACAGTCCCATCTCTGGGACAGTCCCTTACTGAATGAGCCTCCAGATCAACGAAAAACTTTTTAGAGTTCCTAGTTAACTTTCCTGGATATACATATAATTTTTCCTAGTCTTAAATTTTGTGATTGTCTACTGTACACACCTAAAAACTATCTGTGCAAAATTTCATCTGTGATAACTCCTACTTTTAGCAACTAACTATATTGGCACGTTACACTGTGCGCTGCCACTTGCCACACAGCGCATGCAACATTGACTTTATTACGAACATCGGCGATCTTTTGAGTCGGCGTTTATTTTTGTTTGAAACGTAAAACTTAACTAAAAACGATTTTTTAATCTTTTGAGTTAGGGCTTTATTCTAGAAAACCAGCGATATGTTTAAGAAAA